ATTTATTCTCGACATCTTGTGTCATGGGGTGTCATCTGCCACAAACACACCAATCTGGAACAGAACCTGATGCTGAATCATCTATCTGATCTGGGTTATGTGTGTCGGAAGGAACAGGACCTTTGTTCTTTGTTTCACTGTCTGCCAATGCTGAACCAGTTGGTTGCTCAGTTGATGCTTGACCAAACTCACCAAAATTTTCATCCTCATCAAGATCATCCTCCATTATGAGCAATGTTTCTATGTAGTCCATACTACCGATCCCTCTTCGCAAGCTTCTTATAGCTAGTTTTTTTACCATGGCCTCATCTAAGGTTGCAATTAAATCCTAAAATTGTACAAATGTATTTGTAGCCTATATAAAATAATATATTCTTGGCTTTCAACTATTCACAGGAGAGACAAATGGACAAAATGTCCACCAGTGACTGTGGTTTCTTTTATCAAGACGACCAGCATGGCTGTCATGTCTTTTGTTCAATTGTCTCTCCTGGGAATAGTTGAAAACGAAGAATAGGTTAAATTCATGTTCATAAGTTCAACAATGAGAATAAATTTACTTTTACTTGTGAACCCAAAGTGAAACTATAAATCCTTTCAAATGCACTATAACCAAGTACCTGTATGTACAGTACCTTACTGTAAACTGTATCTGTATACAGTATTTCAATATATTGAAAAATCTCTATTACAGACCCTATAAGTTAACCTTGTTTACTTTTTTTGGTAGTCAAATAAGCATGAACGAGAGCAATGCTGCATTAGCAGAGTAAGAATACAATACAATACATTCTAGGTAGTTTTTGCCTGCCAAAAACGTAAACAAAGTTTACCAAACATGCAAAAAGGGCTTCATTTAAAACGTATTCAACAAATTCAAGTATGCGCTATACCTTGACATCTTTGTGCTCCTTTTCCCTCTGTGTCTCCTCTGACTCGGTTGGTTTAGAACTAAGACGAAAGCCTTTTTCTTTGCCTTGTTTTGCACGAGTATCCGTAGCTTTTTCACTCCTGTTGTCTCTTTCCCTTCCCATGTTTTTTGTCATTGCCTAGACGAAAATCATAAAAGCAATTGTTAAATTCATGCTTTCGATTTATCATTTTAATGTTTAAATTAATATATTGACATACTTACTCTATTCTTGCAAGGTTTATCGCGAGTACCACACCGGCATTTATCCGAACATTCGACATTTCGCCCTTTGCAACGACAACCTCGAGTTCCATTCTCTTTCCTTTTTACACTGCAAGAACTTTTACAATCACAGTGGCTTTCCTATGCAAATGTGGGAATGATCAATTCAACATTTTCCATCTATGTATTGTATGCAAATAAATGCAAATTTTTACTCACCATTTTGATTTTTCACACAAGCTTCGCTCCTTTGATCGTGAAAGGTACTTGCGCCGAATGGTTCCGGCCATTTCCGAACTGTTTTGTTTATGCGCAGCAAAGATGCGCAAACGGTGACACTGCTCCTTTAAGCATTACTATTGGTTGTTTAGGCGAAAATACAATACACACGTGATGCGATAAAATCATATTCTTGTATAAACGTAAACTGACATAGACAATGATTTATATTGTAGTTAGTGGAGTATCCAAACCATGAGTTCTATTAACTGTGGTCTTAATTAGCATTTCTTTTGGAAGGCCTGAAAAGGAGAAAAAATACTTACGAAAACAGGTCTCTTTCTGGTGTTCATACCGCCATCAATCAATGGAATGCCGAAAGGAATATTGCGGAAATCTAGAAATACGAAACAATAACATGATTGTTTCTTTCAGATGAGCAGGTGGACTATAAACAGCTAAATTAAGTAAGGTTATCCTGTGAAAACCATAAAACGTCTACTTCTAAGCGCAAAAAGCACAATGGGCGTGTTTCTTTTTATGAGATTGTTTATACATGCATTTACCACAGTTATGCTAATCAGCTAAATATGGAAATCACGCAGTGCATAAACTTTGAGTGAACTGAGTTATGTACAAAAAACTGAGTTATGTATAGGTTAAGCCTGCGGTAAGTAATTTTATAGCAAGAGGCAGTTTTACATACGCGAACAAAACCTACAAAAAAACAACATGAACGTTTTTATAAATTCGGACCAAGGTATCGTTAATATATATTATCCACAGTAAGCCAAATGCAGGGTACTTACATGAGTAGTAGTTAAAGTACTTGTCTTCATGACCATAAATATCAGACGGCCTTAGAATTATTGCATCAGGAAATTCCTCTCTAACTGCTTTCTCACCCCGTGCCTGTGAAACAAAAATGAAAAAATGATACCGTTAACCAACGAATCAAATGACTTTCCAGGATTTTTTCAACCCTGGTTCTACCTAGCGAGCTCCACATATAGACCCATTGCACATGACGTCACAGCGCCGGTGACGATGCATCTGGAGGACAAATTAGCAATCTATGCATAATATAACTTTTGTAAACAAAGCAAATTTTGTAAAACTTAAAAATAATTTTGTATCAAAATGATTCGTTTTTGCGCTGTATGTGGTTGTTGTACCCGAACAGATATTGTTAGGGAGCATCTGGAGGACACTCTAAGGATTTGTGACGTCAGTGCAATTGGTCTATATCTGTAGCGAGAACTCAAGTCCAAAAGGCGAAGGCAAAATGTGGAAATTGCATGAAGAGTTATTGGACGTCTGTTCTAGTCCTTTTCTATTTGTTTTGTCTGCGAGGTTAACACAAAACAGGCAAGAAGTGTGCCCAAATCTCGTAATTTGACATCGTTTTAAAGAATAACACTAGGTTTTCTGAACTGACAGCTTGTTTAGCGATATGGTCCGTTAGAAAAAAACTGGAATAAGGCGAAAAAAAAAATACATGTGGTTCCGGTTTCATATTGTGAAAAAATTCTGATTGGTAGGTCGGAAATAATTTTTTTTTAAAAATATTATTTCATGGTTTTGGCGGTTTTTGGTTGGGCGATTTGCAGTAGAGTCCCGACATCAATATTAACTAGAGATGTGTATTTCCTATGGACGAATTTAGGCAATTTGGTTTAATAATTAGTGTGACAACAGACGCCATTTTGGCGCGCTGTACAAGCAGCCCGCAACCACCTGGAAAAAATAGGGTCGCACGGGCAATCGCGTTGAAAAAATAATAGGGTCGGCAGAAAAAAATAGGGTCTGTCGGGAACCGGAACCACAGGTATTTTTTTACGCCTTAGCTTGGAAAAATGGTATTAAATGTATCAATTTCCACAATCTCGGCTGCACTTTTCTCATAGGCCGAATGACTGAAGTTGTTGCTCCAGATACTGTATATAGAGCTCAATGCCACGCTGGATATGAGCCAATCCCAAATGAAATTACTCCAAATTAATTTCAACCTCAAGGTGTATAAAGAAGTACATAATTATAAAGTGTGATTAAAGCTGAAAACTCCGCAAAATGTCCGAAGAATTTATGTGAATATATATGCATGGGTATTTCTGCTGAATTTCTAGATGGAAATTTCAAGTTGAATTTATATATTTATCGGACATAACCAGGAGCAGTTGCGGAAAATGTAACTATCGGCCTCTGGCAGGAATTGAATATGCGTCCCTGTGATTCCGGTGCAGCGCTGGAACCGACTGAGCTACAGAGACACAGTTGTCGAGCTCTAACCACAAGTTCATGTATAAATACGAAGTCCTCCGCGCGACCTCAACTTGTTTCGCGTATTTGCTTTCCACAGATAATTTTTCAATTTTGTAAATGCATAACATCAATCATGCATAACATTAATCATGCATAACATTAATCATACATAAATGAACTCATGTGTCAATAAAAATATGGGTAACAACTAATATGGCCGTTTTAAAGTGGCACTTGCGTCAAAATCTTTATTTTCATATTTTCTTAAAGTGCTCTTAAAACTGTATAGTAAGTTGTTTTGAAGATTTTTGTTCCCATGCTTATTTCTTGAGATATTTTATCTTGTTTGTAACTATGTGACGTCAATAACTCAATTACATATACAATGAGATATCAGTAATTGTTGTGTATCTTTGCTATTTTTATCAAATCTTTTCAAAGATGCGGCGCGTTTCTTAATTTAACCTACATCATTAAGGATACTGTTTTTTTAAACAAATCTATCAAAAACATCAAAGATACACAACAATTACTGATGTCTCATTATATATGTAATTGAGTCATTGACGTCACACGGTTACAAACAAAATTAATTATCTCAAGAATTAAGCATAGGAACAAAAATCTTCAAAACAAGTTACTATACAGTTTTAAGAGCATTTTAAGAGAAGAAAATAAAAATTTTGACGCGAGTGCCACTTTAAATGAGGGTAAAAAGTTAAAGCCTGTTCTAAACATCGCATTTTACATGCGCCGAATGCATTCAAAACAATGGATAAGGCATTTCAGCTATTATCTATTGTTTTGAATGCATTCGGCACATATAAAATGCGACGTTTAGAACAGGCCTAATACGGCTAAAACGACAGTATAGTGTTTCAGTTTTCAGGCAAATATTGTGATGCATATATAAATTCTTCTGAAATGTTTTTCTAGTTTAGTGGCCATTTTATAAGCCACTATTATTAAACTAAACTATTATTATACACCCTGTGTATACAGCTATTTTAATTAAGGTTGTCCCCTACAAATTTTTTTAGCGATTCCCAACAAGCCTTTCGCGCCCGTATTCAATTTTCCTCTTCGTTCAGGGACATTGGATTGGATATAGGATTGAAATAGCTGTATAGTTTCATTGCGGACAGCGTATGAAACAGTAAGCTACATGTTAGTACATTCTCACATCAGATTTTTCATCGGATTTCAATATTTATCATTGCACGGTTTGGTTTCATTACATTCCAAGCTTATGTGACCCAAAATCTTCACAATGAGGTGGAATCAATTTAAATACATCATTTGTGCGAAGCAAAATGTGGGTGTAAAAATGACTGAAAATATAATTCCAGGAGGCGACAGCCGAGTGGAATGTTCCATCTGTCACCTCGTGAAAATATTTTACTACTGCATGCACTCACAAACATTCCAGCATTATTCGCATAATACTACATATAGATCACCACATTTGTAAATGTAACAAGCATCAGTATGAAATGTGTACGCCATCTAAAACAGGCCTATAAAAGGGCGGACACTCGGGCAGTATAAGGTAACATATGACTGATATCATTAAATTTACCTTGGATTGTAAAAACTGTGATGGTGAATCTTCACTAGCATTCAATGCAGAAATATGAATGAAACGTTGAACTCCAGCTTGTTTTGCAGCACGAGCAATGATACGAGCACCTTCAACATGACATTCATCAAAGGAAAAATTCCTAAATAAAATTTACCAATATTCGTTCAGGTTGTTAAGAAATACATGCAATGCAACTTACACTATGTATGTGTGTTAGGTCAGTTGTGCCTGGAGTGTAATGAAATTAGCAACTTTAAGCATCTAGAACGGCAACGCGCCGACGACGGTAAACAAACTCGTTGAACTACACTGTATGATTGTAAAGAAAACCTGTCGTCTATTATCCATCGTATGAAATTAATGCAGTTTGAAAGTGCACCTAACCTCACTTCTTTTTGTCATTTCATTCTTAAGAACTTCTGAAATGATTTTATAACGTATTTTGAAGATTTTCAGTTTGTTGGTATGCAAATATCTGGAATTTACGTCACAAATGCATAATGACTTAAAGTAAAGCTTGTATATCGTATTCACTATATCGAGCTTAATTCATTAAAATGAAGTTTGGAGTTGTGGGAGGATATAACCTATGTAAAACGCCATTTAGCCTTCTTATTTCATGATATTTAACTGTACCTTACATTCTTTGATCAGCCATTATTCATATGTGACGTAAATTCCGGACATTTGCATATATCAAGAAAACTGAAATAACTCAGAGACGAAGTGTGCTTCACGAAAGTCTTCAAAGTAAGTTTTTATATCATTTCAGAAGTTCTTAGGAATCAAATGATAAAAAGAATTGATGTTAGATGCAATTTTAAAGATCGAGGTTAATTAAAACAATGGTTTATGTTTGAGAAGACTTCTACAACCAATTTGAAGTTATTAGCAGTTGTAGCGCCTTCAATTGTCACGAAAACGCAAACGCAAACCATTGCACAATGACAAAATTGTGAAACATTTGAGTTGTAAACGTGAAACAACCTCATAATGATAAACAGGCCATGCAATTCCACTTTTTGCGCTTAGAAGACGACGTTTTGCGGTTTTCAGAGGACAACGTTAATTGAATTGGCCGTATATACAAACGATATATGATGGTACACATGTCATCACGTGCTGTACCTGGTCGAAAAATTCTTTCCAATGAGGTTGATGACGACATTTGATTGTTTCATCATGTCAGCCACACTTTGTGTATCACGTAAATGGTATTCCTTAATATGAAATCAAATAAATACTAAAATTATAACATTCTTCTGTACCGGGCTTTAAAATATGCACTTAAAAACTTTGAATTAAGAAATTCATGCAGGCAGGGGTGGACCTGGGCCAAAGGCTAGAATTTTTCTGTGAAATTTGCAATGTTACAATTACAGAGGTAACAAATTATTGTATTATTTGTACTTCAATAATAATAGGCTTTAGGCTGGTTTTTGTATGCTCGTACATCGCAATGGTTGTCTGTTATATACTACAGTTTAAAGGTATAAAATATATCATAGTCTGAGTGAGTGTCTGTATTAAATTAATTTATTCTACTTAAATTTAATGTACTGCATTATTTTAATTTATTATTATTTATTATAGTACCGGATGGTGCAAAAAAAAGTTGCCCTGTTTGATTTGTTTTAACTTAAAAACTAAAAGAGCATGTGAACTACGTGTATTGCATTCAGTATTGTCTAACTTAAATTTTAATATACGCCCTGTGCATTTTCGTGCAATATTGACCGAGAGAGCTGGGTTTAAACTTGAGTAACCATTTTTGAAAGTGTTGAGAATTAGCCAAAAACGGCCTATCAAATATTAATGCAGCAATAACCTGTGTTTATAGACACACCATAATCACGACAGAAAGTACATGTTCGTTTTCCGAGACCCGACCAACGCCGCCGGTATAACCTCACGAGCATTATTTACCCTTACATATTCTAAACATATCGAAACTCTTTGGTCGTTCGTTAAGCGAGGCGTATTTATAAAAAAACACGCGACGTTTCTTTCTTGGAACGTTAGAATTTGATTTCCATGCCGGGTCATTGAATATTTAGAATAAATCTTTTAATCAAAATCGCTTCATAAGTTAATTTTTATGCATTCGCAAAGACCTTAAAACAAAGACAAGAGAGCACATCTATCCAATAAACATTTTTAATTTAAACTTCACTTCATTGAAACGAATATTTATGATAAAATGGTAACGGTTGTCAAATTACTTTAACAGGCCATTTTTAGCTAATTCTCGATACTTCCCAAAATGTTTATTCAATTTATTGCACAAAAATGCACAGGGCGTATATCAAAATTTAAGTTAGACAATACTGAATACAATGCACATAATTTAGGTGTAATAGCTTTTAGTTTTTAAGTTAAAATAAATCAAACAGGGCAACTTATAGCAGTATAATAATAGCATTATAGCACTGGAACTTGTTTACTATTTAATTTGCATTTTATTGGAGACCTTGCGGAGCATATATTTACCATTTTACCTCATTATGATGGCAGGGGTGGGTAACAGAATTAATTTCTGTCAAGTATTTAAAAAGCTGCTGATGTTAGTGTGTACACTGTACAGTGTAAATAAAGTAGAATAGTTGTAACTTGTAAGTTCAGTAAGCAGAGTTATCTCAAAATGTTGAAATATTTACCGGAAACTTTTCTGCAAAACTCTCAACTCAAAAAAATTTCTGGGAACTAGGTTTCCAGGTTCCGATACTTTTTCCACCTCTGTATGCAGGACAAGTCAACTGCAACAATATGTGGAAGGAGTAAAGCTATAGCTATCATCTAAACTTCAAAATAAGGCTACAACATCTATTGAGCCAAATTCGAATTTAAAGCTATTGCGACAGGATCTGTCTGAGTCGTACACAAGTTGGAGACTGATTTCCCAGGCCTTAAAATATCGGTCGGTCATGAACATAGTCCGACCCATTCGTGAAATTGTGGGGGAGAGAGAGGAGTTCACCGGACATGTTATCCAACCTAAGTGAAACGGAGGTTAATTGAGTGAATTGGTGCCCGACCTGTAACTTTATAAATCGTTCAATAACGCCATTAACGATCCATCACATAAGCTTCTCCATTTGTTGCCTTCACGGTATGAAGAATCTTACAATTTTAGGGTCAAAAGATTTATTATCCAAAGTGAACTGGAAATTTGTGACTAAGTGTGGGGTTTTCACCGTAGCTAGGTTCACAGGGTGCGATAATTAGATTTTTAGTCGTACCTGACCGGTACGACAATGATTATTGCTGCGTAATTGAGCTGGTTAAAAATTAGGACTTAAGGTGCAGTCTTTAAAATGAAGTACTGTACATAAAGCAAAACTATTCATTTAGTAACCTGAAAACTTAAAACACGTAGCACAATTGCATATACAAACACTACAATTGACTTTAACATTCCTTAGTCCAATCATGTTTCATGCCAAGGCATGCCAGACATGTACTGACATAATGACAATTTTGAATACATTGGGGTTGGAAAGTTATTGCCAGGTTTGCAAAGTTATTGCCACGGAGATTCAAATGAATTTTCCAAATTATATTAATTTCTTATTATTCATACTTTTTTCCAAGCCAAACTGAACTCAAAGTCATCGGACACCCATCCGACATCACAATACATACTGCTTCATGTTTCGCTCGCTACTCTGGTTTAAATAAAATTAAGGGTTTTGCAATAGTTCCATACATTCAAGGTGTCACAGAACCAATCAAGAGAATCTTAAGTAATTGTAATATTAAGGTTGCGTTAAAACCCTATTTGACTTTAGGCCATATTTTCGCAAAGCCAAAAGATTCTGTTGAAAAAAATCAGAAGACTCATGCTATATATTCTATACCATGCGGTGACTGCGACAAAGAGTATTTGGGTCAGTCTAAACGCCAGTTTGGTACACGGCTAAAAGAACATCAAAAGGCTGTTTCAACTTTAGACAAGGGAAAATCAGCTTTAGCCGAACATGTATGTTACACCAAACAGGAGATTGCGTGGGAAAACACTAAAGTAATTACCACAAACAATCGCTATGGTCAAAGACTTTGCCTAGAAGCGTGGCATATAAATATGAGTCATCATGCTTTGAATAGGGATGACGGCGCCTATTTGCCAGAGGAATTTATGCATCTTCTTGGCAGCTGACGTCATCCCTTGGGTATTTAAGAAGCCACGATCACAGTTTTAGATCACCCCTGATGAAGACACTAGACTGGAGTGTCGAAGCGTTGGGTCTTGATTACAATTCGACTAGGCTTTGTAATAATTTATTTAAACCAGAGTAGCGAGCGAAACATGATTGATATACCTGCATGGTTGCAGTGAACGAACAAACTTTATACATACTGCTTGTTCTACTAAACTCAAGGTCATCGAACATTTTGTCATACGGTTCCTAGATCGATATTTTAAGGCCTGGTATGCCGCAACCATCAGGGCTTTCAAAAGCTGATTAGCTTAACCCTGGCTAGGCCCTAAGTTAAAATTCAAAACCAACTTCTCAACAGCTTGTTTATAAATTTTGAATTTTTTTGCATAAATCTTGATTGGATTACTAGGAGTTTTCTTCTCTGAAGCAAGCCTTGATAAAATATTTTTCTTCCTGGCAGCAGGCTTCCCAGACCTAAAATTTCCTGCCAATTTTTTTTAGAAATATGAATTTTGGTTGTAATTCAATAACAGCATCGTATATACCCCTTAATAAGTCATATAGCACCTCAATATTAAGAAAAGAATAGGTTTACTTGAATTAGGGGCATGAAGAATCTATGAAACAATATTTGAATTTTGTTTTCAGATTGTAAATCTGCATGAATTTATATCAGTATTCATGCACTATTCAACAATAATAGTACGCCCAACAAGGGCAAATAATGTTAGCCAATCAGCGCGTTTGTTTACATTTTGCGTTCTTGACCAATCAGAATGCCTGAAATTCGAAACATGTAAACAAAAGGAGTGAGAAAATAACACCTTGTTCTACGCCCTCGGTGACATTCGATATTAAACTTTTTTCGCCAAAATTGACAAATTCTGATAAAGCATGCTTTCTTCTTTAATTTCCTCGGGGGGATTTTTTAAATTCGATCTAGAACGCGAAATATTTATGTTTGAATAACAGTGTTTCGACGCGCGTAAAATAGCAGACTCTCACTTGCACTATCTTTACACACACATAAATAATTGGTAGGTTTGGCAGTGTAAACTTATTTTCCCCACACCACAGCTGACATGTTTTTAAATATTACCTATCTGATCTCATCGATCTCATTTCGCATCGGAAATGCGTCACAACGATCCACGACTGACAGGTACAATATCGCATGACTCATTACTGTACATTAAAAGTACATATCCGGTTGGCAAAATGGCGATTGTCTGAAATAAACTGTTCACGAGGGTTTCATTCTGTTCGTCTTCTGGTTCGTCGTCAATCGTCATCGGCTGCCTCACTTCTTGGTCGCTTTCGTCCTCTTCAAAGCAAGTCGCCGGAGCAAACAGCGTTAGTATTTGCTGTCTTTCCAAGAGCTTGAACGTTGCTTTACAAACTGGGCTATCGCTGATGTTGGGCAGGATGCAGTTGACGTGGAACGAAGGTCCACAACCACGGAAAACGTTCCAAGTGGATTAACCTTTTTGCAGGCAGGCAAATCGCAAATCGATGGAAATTTTAAAGGAAGATTTATATTTTATATTTACAGATCTTGATACATTTATAGTCAGTACGCGTCCTTGGAAATTGTTCCAAAATATGAGTGTGTACCAAAGTTAAAATATTACTCATAATCTCTAGAACATGTTTGAATGTTTTGAATCACTGCAGTTTAGAATTAGCAGTCCTTTAACTCTTTTAAAGACAACAGAACTGGCAGCCATTGCACCCCATAACTATTTAGTGTACAATACTAGTCAATGTAATTAATTACTACCTCCCCCAACCCAGAAGTAGGCAGTTTTTACTTCTCAGCACTGTCACTATCTGTTTATTGGCTGTGTGTAAATATCTGGTTTTGTCTCAGTGACCCTGCTTTGCCCCACACTTTGGGATTTGAGCAGGCAGGGATTTATATTGTCTGGTATTGGTACATAGTTTACCATAATCACAGGATATTATTGAAAGAATTCACTGCCTTAAAAGCATTATATTATTTGCTCTGTATGTATGTGTGTGTGTTACTTTAAGTGTACTCTGGTTCCAGAGCCTCTTTG